TTTTTTTTTTTTTTTTTGGGTACATTGGGTAATGCTTACAGCATTAGATTATCTAGTGGCACGTGACCTACGAACTCCTAAATTATCTTCTTGAAGAAGAGATCAAACCACATCAGGGGGTTGTTCAAAATAAAGGAAACCTCCCCTTAGGTGATAAAACTGAGATGCCATTGCATCTACACAAAAGTTTTGCTCTCAAAACACATGTCGAATCACACATGTCCAATCTCTTTCCATGAGAGGCTTGAACCTTTGAACCCAATAAGTCAATGATGTAATTGTTGTGGAGCTACTTTGCAATTTTTGATCAGCTAAAAGAGAATCTGTCTCTACCATAACTTGTCGAAACCCAATGTTCCAAGCTAGCTCCATGCCTTTCCATAATGCAAAAAGTTTTACACAAATGGCGTGGCCATCACCTGGCTGTTGATTGAAGCCAAACAACTAATTTCCTGATGCGTCACGGCAACAACCTCTAGCCACTGAAGGGCCAGGTGAATCGCGAGTAGAACCATCAACATTTAACTTAACAAATCCACTTGGTGGAAGATCCCAACCTACCTAAAGTTCCCTTCTAAGGCTTATGTGATGTTGCTTCAAAAGACAAGCAGCCTTTATGAAATGATTCTTTAACATATATTCCTTACTGCTAGTCCATGTAGAGTCATCATTGAGAGCTGCTTTATTCTGTCCAAGCCAAAGATACCAACAAACAATTGCAAAGGCCACACCCCACTCTAAATCAAACTCAATCATAACATTTGTGCATGAAAGATTATGTTTGATCCATGTCAAGTGGTCCATCTGCTACCAACTACGCCAAAGACTATTATTAATCCACCTCTTCCATATCCTTTTAGAAACTGAACAATCCCTAAATAGGTGCAGAATATCCTCTCGGTGAGTATAGCAACGAGGACAAGTATCATTCTGTGCAATCCCTCTTGCAAATCTGGCACTATTTGTTAGAACTCTATCATGCAACATGAGCCATAATAAGGACTTGGCCTTTGGAGGTGTTGTTAAACTCCATACCTTGATCCAACAAGCTGCCAACAGAGAAAGGCTCGAATTAGTCAATAATTCATAAACACTCGTGGTAGAAAACTCACCAGTATTAGAGCTTTTCCAATAAATAGAGTCCATTTCTAAATTCTGATCATTAAGCACATGGAGCTCTAGTAATTGTATAATATTATCAGGTAACATAGGTTTAAATAGTCCCCAATTCCATCCATTAGAGTTCCAATATTCCGCCACCATCTTTCGTAACTCAAATTCAGGAATGAGGCCAGTAGCTGCAAAAGATAAAGGTCTATCAGTAAGCCAGCTATTAAGCCAAAAAGATGTATTCATTCCTGAGTTAACCATGTGACCCATGCCCATGGAGACCAATTCTTGAGTTTCTAAAATACCCTTCCATGTGTATGAGGTATTTTGTTTAGCCTTCGCTTGAACAAAATCACAATTAGGGAAATATTTGGCCTTTAGTATTTGAATCCACAATGGCTCTGACTTAGTCGCAAGCTTCCATCCTACTTTGGATAGCAATGCTAAATTCATGGAAGAGGTTGATATGAAACCTAAGCCACCAAACTCTTTAGGGGTACAAACCACATCCCATCGAACTAGTGGGATTTTACATTTATCATCAGATCCTCCCCATAAAAATTTCCTATTGGCTCTATCAATATCCATACACACAACATTCGGGAGCTTTGCAGACTGCATGGCATGGTTTGCAACCGTGGAAAACACTAATTTAATTAGCACTCGGCATCTTCAAAAGATAATTGTGCAACCTTCCAGCTTGATAACTTGGTTTTAACTTTAAGGAGCAAGTCATGATAGGTCACCCTAGTAACTCTCTTATTATGTAAAGGAACACCCAAGTAGTGGCCAAGGTCATCCGTTGCTTCTATCCCCGAAAATTGAGTGATCTCATCAATTAATCTTCAGTTTGTATTCGGAGAAAAGAAGATTTTTGACTTGCTAGCAATTACTTTCTAATCTGAAATATTACAAAAAGATTGAAGGCAATCCATCAGTGTTCTCATATTATTAATAGTAGCTTTACCAAAAAATACCAAGTCATCAACAAAAAATAAATGAGATAAAGATGGCCCTTTTTGTGTAATTCGGAAAGGATCCCATTGTTTTGTCCTAGTTGCATTCTCAATCATTTGTGATAACTTGTCCAAGCACAACACAAATAAGTAAGGTGAGAGGGGGTCACCTTGTCTCAACCCTTGATGAGGGGTGAAAGGCTCAATTTTCTTCCCATTCCAGAGGAGAAAAGCTGGATGTACTAAACTAATAAAGATTTATGGGGAACAAATGAAATACTAAACAAAAAAATCCAGCGCAGTGGGAATTTGAATACACTACTATGATAGTTTGCCTCTATAAAAACAAACAATACACTGTGTGAGATGGAGTAATCTGTAACTGTAATACACATGTACTTCTAGACTTCTCTTGTACAAAAACTCATGTTAAACGACATTAATTAAATTGACTGTGGAGTGATTGATTGTATTATCGTTTTCAATTGAAAGAACCATTACATTCCTTAAATTAAGACATAAAATGGGTGGATTCTATGAATTTCTTCTCAAAGGTATGATCAAATGTTGTGTGGGATCCTTATGGATGAGCAGATCGGGATTCTTCTAGGGTTTTCCTCTGAGAAAAATTCCTTATTCATGGCTGGTTTTTCCTTTGCATGTCTTTTTGAAAAAGGAAAGCTTACACCTTACCTTTCTTTTCGCATCTTCTGCAAATTTCAACATTTTTATACTAAAAAATGATGAAAAAAAGTCACTATAAATTACACTTTATTTAATCTTTAATGGGAGAGGCATTCTCTTTGATATTGAGGAAACATTCCTCTATTAATAGTTAATTATTTTGCAATTTGTATGGCACAAATTGCAAAATAACATTATTTATATACATTAAACAAAAAAAACAATCAATATCAATTTTTTATTTTAGAAAAAAGTAGGCAGCTACATATTTGTTTGGTTAAGGGTAAGGGGATGGGAGGAATAAAGGGCAGGGAAGGGTTCAGTAGTGTTTGAAAATTGAAACACCACCTCTTATGGGATTCTCATCACAAAAGTGCAGAGGGGTTTGGCGTCTCCTTGAGAAATTCTTTCACATAATAAGAATATTATGAAAGCAATATTTTCGTCTACTAGTGCAGCAATACATTAATATATGTAGTTTTCATTTGTAATTAAATTAACTTTTTTTAATTACAAGTGTAGATCACATATGTTATCATGTTGCTATGTACATTATTGAACAAGAATACTGCTAATGCGGTATCCCATTGCATAAAAGAATTTTTCCTCCAAAAGCTTGAGGATTAAAACCAATATCAAGTTCAACAAATTGTAGAAGAAAAAGAATTTTACAATGTGGAACTCTTTTGATACTCCAAAAAAAAAAAAAAAAAAAAAAAAAAAAACACAAAAGTAGGGTCAATCAGCTGCTATAGTTCAACCAACCAAAATCTAGAAAAGAGGAGATAGAAAGGGATAAGGAATAAAGTTACTTTAAAAAAAAATTCAAACATTATGTACCCATGATGAAAAATAGAGAACTGTTTCTCTGATAAGGATTGACATTTAAATCTTAGATACATAAATCTAAATTAAGTAAAAAGTAACACAAAAATTTTAAGGTTGTTTTCTAAAATTTAAGTATAAAAGAAAAAATATTTGAAACTATGAGTTTTAAATATTTAATTAGTTTCTTCTCTTATTTATCATGAAAGCAAAATGAAGATTATTTAAAATTTTGAAAACAACCGGTGTAATGTATTATATCACATTAGACATCAGGGGCATAGGT